CCCTGGAGCCAGCAGTGACGAACTCACAGGCCCCGCCGGTACCCACCGCGCCAGAGTGGATCCAGGCACGGACACAGAGGCCCGGGCCCCCAGGTCGCACCCTCCCCCAGGCCAAGGCCCGATAGGACCAGAGGGACCCCAGCCCCACCGGGCAGCCACTGGGCCGAGCCGGTACACGCCCAAGCACCCAGCCCCAGACAACGAGAGCCACCAGTGCGCCGGCGGGCAAAAGCACAACCCACCAGAGGACAGCATGGCAATGTAAGATAATGTAAGTTTTTCTAAAGACCAAAATGTCTATACGACCTTTAGAAAAAAGTTTTTTGAGGGCATCAACTCTCAATAAATGTCATTTTGGGAAGCCTAGTCACTAATTTTTACTCAGTACTTTTACTTTTAATACTTAAGTACATTTTATATCAAAAATTTACTTTTGATACTTAAGTAAAAAAACATATTAGATACTTTAAGACTTTTACTCAAGTAATATTCTTAGAGGAGACTTGAACTTTTACTAAAGTAAATTTATGGTAATATACCTGTACTTTTACTGAAGTATCACTTTGAGGTACTTTATACAGCAGTGTCCTGGAGACACAATGTATCAGGATAGTATTTTTTTAAGTAATAACTCGGAATAAAATAGGAGTAACGACTTTCTACTTCTTACCTTTTTAAAAAATGTAGTGAGTAGAAAGTATAGATAATTGTGTAAAAATGTAATGAGTAAAAGTAAAAAGTACGCTGAACAATAATTTCTCAAGTAAAGTACAGATACACAAAAATTCTTCTTAAGTACAGTAACAAAGTATTTGTACTTAATTACTTTACAACTCTGAATCCTATTTGCTAAAACTATACCCTTTTTCTTGTCTGCCGTAGGCTTTCTTATTGTTACTAAAAAAAAGGTTGATGACTGGCGGACGAGTGGTCTCGCGTGCACGCGCACGTCTGGGCGCGCACGTGCAGTAGTTACTGTAGTTCCGAGTTGTTTACAGTAAATGAAACGAGGTGTTGGGGTTGCAGGAGGTTGGTGTTCCTGTCGCGGCGGCGGGGCTAGTCTCCGCCCGTGTTTGTATGCTTCTCTGACAGGCAGGCGGACAGCAGCACTTGGAGGAAGGTGGAGACTCCTCCGGGCTAACTTCCTGCAAAGTAAGGGAGAACTCAGGAGACTGCTGCTGCCGATGCTGGAGCTAGGACGGATGGATATACGTCTGTTTGGACTTCTTTGCCAGTAAACTGAGCAGAAGCGCATGTTCTTTACCTACACTCACCTCGGTTTTGTAGCCGGATATTACTAGCATCGAGGCTGGAGCAGAAGATCCCCAACATTTGGTCTTTCTGCTCGGATCCATGGGTGAGTTTTCCATGATGTGGCGCTTGTGTTTTGACACTGTGTGCTGTTTTCTCCCTCCATACCAGTTTACATAAAGCAAGTCGAACCGATGCGGATGTAAAACCAAGACGTGTTAGCGTCTTAAAATGTTTTAATAGCTTTTAACATTTTGGGAAAAGTTGGCCAGCCTGGGAGCTAGCCGGCTAAGCTAACAGCTAGCTGTCCCCCCGTGGTTAACGCCAGGACATCACCGCCTGCATCCAGCACCGGACGGAATTAGCTGCCTTCGTTTCGGGATTATCTTGGTTTAAACTACCTGTAATCTGGCGTCATTCACTGCGGTCGTTACACAGAAACCAGTTTCCACCTCGAAATTGCAGAGTCGGCCTGGGATTCCCAGTTTACACCTTCCCGCTCCAGTTTCTGTCAGGTAAACCAGCACCGATACCCGAACTGAGGCAGTGTGTTCTGTAAAGGTTAAAGTCCATCCATAAAGTGGTCTTAAGGGTTAAACATTGTCTTTGAATGTGGGGTGTTTTATAT